CATGCATTATGCGATAACGAGCTCTTAAGCTCAGCCAAATTAATACAATAAATTTAAATTTCCTTAGCATAAGTGAGTCATAACTTAGACATTATTCTCAGACCAGGGGGCCGCTAAGAGCTGTGACCGAGAAGCGAAGAGTTTGCACAAGTGGCATTTTTGCGTATGAGAATTTATTTAAGCTCATGCATGAGCTGCCGGAGATAAGGTGTTACTTAGGTTTATAGGTGATCCGGTTTAGGATTTGGACTGAGGGTTGCAATCAACACTACTCGGAATGGTCCAGGATTACATGAACAATGTTCCTATCAATGCATTAAAAGTATTCAGATGAGATTATTTTAATCTGCGAACAGATTAACTTCAAAGCGAAACAAGTAGTTATATTCTGTCCGAAACAACAATAATATTTAACCATCATTTATATAAAAAGAGCCGAAGTAGAAGATAAGAGTAGAATATCGCTGCTTGATGCATTAATTAAGCAGGTACAAGTTGACGCCCACAAGTTTTGTAATATCCTGCGGCCGCGGCTGCAGAATAATCGCGGCAACTCTGAAACTCGGAAACTTTTTCCTTATCATCAACAAAGCATGTAAGCGGGAGCCTGCAAAATTAACCGATTTGTTCAACTACGTGAAGACAAGCGACAACAATTAAAAAAAATTAATGGGAGTATTGGATTAATAAGCAAGGCGCAAGAAAAATTAATTGATGATCTGATTGTAGAGGAACAAATCGAAAACAGTAATTAATGAGGGTTTCCTATTACAACTTAATGAGCCAACAAAAAGAAGAGTGCTTTTAGGAGGGCGCTATGATTGAAAATTTTAGGAAGACGTTTATTATTATGACGTTACGACGCTATCCTCCCAAATTAATTAGGATGCATTTGTTTACGACGTAACGATACAAAAAACGTACGTCAATGAAAGCTCCTTGATTGCGATACAATTAATGACGTTAAAAGTAAAAGGTTTTCAATAATGACATAAAGATCCTAAACTAACTTTAATGCGAGATATTAATAATGGCGAAAGGGCCAAAAAGTTGCATTGATTAGAATATTTTTTTGATTATGAGACATCGTCAAAATTAAATCTTATATGAGGGTTTTTCGATAGCGTGGTAGCTAGTAAAGTAAATGTAACTCAGTAATCACTGCAGTGAGTGACAGAGAGCGCATTTTCTCGTCGACGAAAACGTGAAGTCACGGACGGACAGACAGACAGACGGACATGGCGAGTATATATACAATAGTGCATTTTTTCCATAAATGAGAAAATGCGCTAAAAATATTGAGTTTTTTTACAATGACGCAAAAAATGAACTTAATGGGCGTTTCGATGACGATGAAACGATCCACAGAGTAATTCGATAACGCTTTTAGATCACGACACAGCGAGCAATAAATAAAGGGATGAGACTCAAGGTCCCAGAATTAGTAGATAAATTAGACTATTAAAAATGCAACAGAAGAATATTATCGCGTTTAACGAGTACAAATGGGAGACTTTGCGCGAAATTACAAACTTTACCGTTGGAGGAACATGAATGGTTTTCTCTTTGAATTTAAGACTTCACGGACAAGTAAAAGACGCGATCGAGCGTACATTACAAAAATCAGTAATATTTTAGGAAATATTTTTTATTTATAGAGCAACGATATAATAGGCGACATGAATACTGATTGTTTCAGACTCTGATTTAGAAACTCAACTAACGGTCATTGATTTTATTGCCAATCATTTAGCTTCGAGGTTACATACGGCGTAAATATTTAAGATTTAGGAACGACGAAGATTTATGCGTACAGCACTGAACGAAGGCTTTAGCACTACTTATGAATTTGACTCATGTGTGAAGATGCTTTAAATGCTTTATGATTAAGTTGAATTTGCATTTATGAGTTAGGGCATTGCAGAAAGCGGTTCTTACGATCCCATTGAATGCATCTCTTCTTCAAAGGAGAACTACTGAACAAAAAAAAAACGAAGTTGAAACTCGGCAGCACTCGATAGAGTTCAGCAATAATAACAAAATACATGAAAATCATTCGATACAGACATTTATACGTTCATTTTTTTAAACACAAGTTTTGCCCATATCTAAGAAATACGAGTGTGATAATGAGATAATAACTATTAACAACTGAACGAAACTGAGTGGAATTGATTAAACATCTTAAAAACGCATATATCATTCATGAGTTGCTTCAGCCTAACTCAAAGACATAATAAATTTAAACAACTAAATAAAGCCGAGTGGGGCAAAACATTCTAACAACGCAGATGACATTATTCGTGAGTTGCGGCAGAATTTTACGGAGGTCAGCGCGTCCCACATGAAAGATGAAACAAGGCTTTAAAGTTCGTAATTAATTACCGCCGTCACGCAGCTTGACGAGACTCTGAACACGAACTGATTACCTAAAATACTGCTAATTTCTGCCTAAAAAACGAATGAAATTATTTTCGTACTAGGTATTACTGTGTAATGGATTAACTTTTGAAACAAGTAGCACAGCAGGCAAATTTCAAGTATGAGTTCACGTTAAATCTCCCGTGTATAGAATGACCTGGGCATATACTTTCAAAAATTCTTTAAGTGAACGTAAGTATTTACGCTCTATTTTCTTTTCTACGATTGGTGGATTTTGCTTGAAAGGCCGTCAATGATTGGCTGATGAACTTACGATCTCTTAACTTTTTTTGAAAGTATAGGCCCTCGGCCTATACTTTCAAAAACATTAACTTTTTTTGAAAAAACATTAACTTTTTTTGAAAGTATAGGCCCTCGGCCCATACTTTCAAAAAAAGTAAGACAAAAGCAAGCCACGTAGGAGGAAACGTAGCATGACGAGTGCTGCACGAATTGTTTCTTTTACGCCTAATTTTCGTATTACTGAGAAATGGATTTAAAAACCTGTAATAATTATTCACACTTAATTAAATAATATCAGATATTTGCGGACTAACTTTTGTCCATTACGAAATAAACTCCAGCATCGATGATAGAAAAACATATTATTTCAGCTATGAGGCAGTTTAAAATCATTGCACGTACTTCGAACAGTATAACGAATTCATGACGCACCACGCTGCAGCCATGGAGTTAAAATAAATTTACAACACAAATATAATGTAATTTTCTACGGAACACCTCGACTACAGAAGTAACAGCGGCCTTGGCACCAAATAGACAACGCGAGTCAAACATTAACGTTGAAGGTAATGACGGCGAGCCTGATGATGGCGCTCCCTTTTCAAGTCCAATTTTTTAAAATAAAAAATATTTTGAGTTTTGCTGAGCAGCGCAGCCATTACCATATCGCAGCGAGGGATGATCTGAAAGAGTTTTTACCAATTTTCACTGGCGCCACGTTATGATGGTCTACTTCACATATAAACTAGAGCCACGTCTTGATCCAATTCAAATTTAAACTGAAGCCACGTCTTGATCCATAAACTTTATGGCATTTGACATATGTAATGGCATAAAATGGGACATTTATAAAGTGTATAGTAGCGGTATGTAGAATTACTCAGAAACTCAAGTTGCATTACGTGAGAGTGAAATTCCTGAAGTGCAAACTAAGGCTCGAATTACTATAGGAAAGTAGTTAAAAATTAATATACTAAGACTATTTAAATATCAAGTCGGATTAGTGCGACGGTGCAACTCCTTTAAATCTGAAGTAGGATGATTTCTACAGAAACTCTGCTTCAAATCTCAATTTCAGTGATTGCGGTAGCGAAACTCCCGCCAAATCTCAAAGAAGGAGCTCATCCAAACTCTGGTGTTTCATTTCCACATCTAGATTTATCAAAGGAATGGGGCGGACCATAAAGGCAGCACTCCTGAAACTTCAGCTAACAAACTTTTGGGGTCTCTTTCGACCTAGCCGAATCCGAGGACATCTTCGTGTTGGAAATGTCCCGTGAAAAAATCCGCACCAAGACGAACTTGTGAGATCCACAAACAAAAATCTATTCAATTTATTCAGTATGTGCAAAGCGGGCTGTCATTCGCAGCACAGCCAGCGCCGGAATACCAAATGGCTTGAGGAACCGTTAAATTAGGGTAATAAAGTCTGGAATAATGCAAGCGAATAACACAAACAAAGCTACAACACAACAATTGAATTCGTAAAACTTGGCCGCAAATAATAAAAATTTTAAGTCAGATGTAAAACTGGAATAAATAATGGGGAGTTTCCTATTTCAAAAAAATTCAGTTGAACGAAATGAATAAAGTAAGAAATATTATCAGTTAATATTCCTAGACGCTACGCAGGATCGTTTAATAATTAATATAATAATATAATATAATCTAGATAATAATTTTTAATTTTTCTACAAATTAAGTTTTGTTATACGCGCCTAATTACTTGAATTAGGCTCACCGTCATAACCTTCCTTAACGTTACTGTTTGACATGCGTTGTCTATTTATAAAGGTAATAAAGTTATCTTTCCAAAAGAGTTAACCTTTCTTTTTTTCTTTCTTTTCAAATTAATCGTTCCTTTATATCTTCGTGGATCATCATCAACATATTGGATAGAGGACAATTACAAAGGCCCATTTAACCATTTAAACCTGTCAATTCGTACACCTTATAGGCAAGAGATCAAATACTCCACAAGGCTCATAAACGATAAATAAATAAACTTATAAGATTCGTAATCTTCACAATGTTTCAAATCATAACCACCTCCCAGAGTACCTATTGTTTTGATGCATCATGCACCCAATAACCTAGCAGTACGTACACAGGTTATTACTTACGTTCCAGGAGCCGTACTATTACAACTCACTCAATTACTTCTAGTGGCCCATTTCTCGCTGCGATGAGTGGGGTTAGCTTGAAAAGCCGCCAGTGATTGACTAATGCAATTGCGAACTCGTAACTTTTATTGATAGTACAGCACCAGAGCAGAGACACGATGATGCGAATACAAGTAATCATTAGTACTCTAAATATGATGTTTTTGTAATTACCTTCAAGAGCAGCGATGTTCTGCACCAGCGACGTGATGGTGGAGACCACGAGTAGGGGCACCAGCGTCGTCCTGAGGCGCGGTCTGCTGACGCTGGCCATGGTCAGTTGCTCACGCCTTCTGACCAGGTAGCAAACGTGATTGCTTCACAAAAATGTCAAGGTATAACTTTAATATTGAAGCATTTAAAGTCGGTTACTACATTTGATGCCACCACGGTGGCTGCACGAGTACATACCAGTTTTTCCATACCGACTGATTTTACAAATAAGACAGCCTACGAACACTTTTTCTAAATCTTATAAACCGTGACTGGTTGTATACCAATGTTTCCATAGCGACGCTGTGCATATCAGTGTTACCATAGAAAGTGGGTAATGAATGAGTGTTTCCATAGTCACAGGATGTAAACGTCAGTGTTTATAGTTAGTGTGGTTACGAAAATTTATCAAAATAACGAAGAATATTTTCAAGTGAAGCAAAAACAATGCGGATTTCCAAGGCTTAGTTAGAGATACTTTGTTTTGTTTTAATAAGTAAAACAATTAAATCAACGTTGAGAAATTTGTAGCAGCAAATTTTTTGATAACAAAAAAAGCAAATTTTTGTATAACATTTGTATTCGTGTAGTTTATGGCCACTATTGCACGGCATCATTCGTAAAGACCGAAATATTCAAGACGAAATAAAATTATAGTCATGCATAGCCGTAGAGAGAATAATTTCATAGATGAAAAGTGCATTAGAAAAGTTAATTATACGTAAAAGCTTTACATTCACCTTAAGAATACAATTTAATAAAAAAGTCTAGAAAATTTTGAGCCCTAATAGGATGAAATTTTATGTATGATTCCATTAGTACAAAAACATACAAAAAATTGTTTACTATAGCAAAGTTTTTCCGTCTATGTATGGCAAAATGAAAAATATTATCATAAAATAACAGAAAATAATGATTGAGATTTAACAAATATTAGCTTAGAAGCACGACTATAAATACAAATTAGGGAAAATATATTCATAAAAATGTACTCATAACGGCATGCTGCCGTCATGAATACATTAGGGAACTTACTTTTCTGTTTCTGACGACAAGACGCTTGGAAACTAACGAAGAAAATCCACCTAATTATTGAACTTTATTCCACATTGTACTGCAGTGATGGGTTAACACTTCGTTGAATATTACAATCGATAAAGAACTAATTTCATTACAGCATAATGACTTGGAAATAATATTTGGCCCCTAAATAGAAGTGTGTAAAAGTAAATCTTTTATACGTTGTGGAAAAATATGTAAATCGTAGCTTGCGTTAACTGATGATGAAACCCCCACCTGCGAAGAAAAAAAAATATCGACGTTAATGACAGCTTATATCAGATAAGCTTGTAATTTAACAGCTAAATTTATACTACTATAGGGCCGTCGAGCCTTACGTAAAAGCGGTGAGAATAAAATATACTCCAATATTTGAAATAATTAGCACTAAAAAAACCTGTACAAGGGCACAAAAGGGAGATTTGTCCGATTTATATAATAAATTTATACATGATGCCGGATGAAGGGACGGCTCAACAGACAGTACTCTTAGTTTTCGTCATCCGGCAAACTCCTAAAAAAGAGAGAAGTTGTGATACAGTATTAAGTGAGAATATTTAAATAATATTCTGACGCACAGCAATAGGAATAAATATTCCTGAAATTAATGTTTTTAGGTAGAGTTCAGACATGTGGAACAACCTCTCTAATTACATCGTTGGCGCTCAGAGTATGAACGCGTTCAAGAACAGACTAGATAAAGCTATGGAAAATATATGTTCAGACTTGAAATGCCTAGCACCATATCGAACCCGGTGGAAGTCTATAGTAGCTACTTCAAACTATCGTCAGTCTTGAAAAGATCCAGTCAAATGACACAATTTTAGATCTTCACAGTGAACAAGTCATGAAAAGTTCAAGAATCGGCGACAGGCCACATCAGGCCTACTCTTTAGCGCCGACATGACTATGTCAATTTTTGGGCAAAAATGCTTTTTGCAAATTTATGCGACAGTTACGCGTCATTTGATCATCATAATGATAGTGTTTCATTCAAATGTGTGTCGGTACAAAGATGTAAGTGAAATATTCTGGGCGTCTGAATTGCTTTACTTGAAGAGGTACACTTCTTAATTCGAGAAAATCTTACAAATTAGAAAAAAAACAAACGGCGTCGGCAGAATGCTTGCTTTGTGACAAGATTTGCATATAAAATGGCAGTGCCGTTCTGCTACCAAATAATCTCAGAAACAAAGCGCTACAAATACAGCTGCGCACAACATGTTTACGGCATATTCAAGGCGAGAAATGGAAGGTATGTCGCGAAAATATTCATGACACGACAATTTTTTGAACAACAATCACGAGTGGTAATTTTGGAACTCATTCACTTCATCCTCGAAACCGTTTATGTAATAATCATACGTATTTATCACCTAAGGTATTATTTACCTCTAAGAATAACGAACACCGGCGTGACGAAAAATTGCTAAAGACATTCCACTTCCAACGTACGCGCGTCGAGACACATGAGTGTCTCCAACGTCCAATTATTCGAAAGAATATCATTGCCTTTTGTTGCTCGGGAAGCTGAAAAATTCCTACTGGACTGGAACTGTCCTCAATGTAGGAGACATCTTCCGTCATTGTCGGGCAAGAAGGACAGCGGAACCATACCAAGATACCGGCATACGGTCGGATGCATTAAATTCTATTGATGGCGGAGTTCAGCGAGCAATTGCTGGGCCTTCCGCATACGGGGAAATTCCAACAAAGGAGGCGATGCACGACCCAATGACCGCGTAAATCTGATACCATTGCAATATAAAGCCTGCTTCGATTTGTGACCAAGTCCGAGGGAACGAAGCACTCGGGCGACCCTAGGCGAGCTTCACGTTTCTTTCGTATTGTGGGCAACTGCAGGATTTGTCTGCAGGAAAATATAGCAGTACGATAATTACGTATTAAAATACAGGACTTGGATGTACGAGATTATAAGAAAGAAGGGATTCGATTCAGTGAAATAATGAGATAGAGGAATAAGATAGAGGAGATTATATTTACTACGATGATGAACACGGTGAAAGGTTTCAATAAAAAAAACTTAAAAAAATATAGCTTTAAAACTAATTCGAGGTATCGATTCTACAACGAAAAAAATTGTTTCTAATAACTTGAGTCAATCACAAATAATTTACGTACAAAACCACAAGCAAGGTTGATAATAGGACAAACAAGATGCAATCCGATGATTGAGAATAGATGCATTAATGACGTTGGTCACTAATTTGAGTCTGAAGAAGGTTTAATAAAAACGATAGTTAACCGCAAGTCGTAAAAAGGATAGAAAATATATTTTAATATTTGGATTGAACAAAGATATTTGAATGCGGTATCCACGCAAGGCCATTTACATGCACTAAGCATGTATGCCAGATCACCATCGCTTGAGTGAGAGATCGAGGGCAAGAACAAGCACCAGGGCAGGGAAAATTGGCACCGTCGCCATGCCAACGCCGCACCTTCTCTCGAAATTTGCATTGTGGTAGGTCGGCATTGGCCTCTGATGAATATGTAAATACCGATGTAGTTATTACTTATACTGATAAGGTTCATTTTAGCGCATTTTCTCATTTATGGAAAAAATGCACTATTGTGCTCGCCATGTCCGTCTGTCTGTCTGTCCGTCAGTCTGTCCGTCCGTCCGTGACCTCAAGTTTTCGTCGACGAGAAAATGCGCGCTCTGTCACTCACTGCAGTGAGTACTGAGTTATATTTTTTCCCTAGAAGATTCAGGAAACGGTTTGCGTGCCGTTTTCTTATTCGAGGATCATTTCTTCGATCTTCGCTATATGATTATGCTTGACTAATCAGAAATGAAGATGTAATATTTCCTGAATTTGTAGTATAATTCAATACTGGCATTTTGTTAAAATCCAGCATTTTGCTCACATCTCATATCACCGAGGTTGATGAAGGATCAAGCTAGAAGGCAGAATCTTGTGTAACGAGGTTGGAGTGGACAGTCTGCCGTTAAATGAAGATTCAACATTTTTTTAATTTCATTTATTTATTGAACATGTAGCAGCCGAATATCAACATTAACAGTGTGCTATTATATAATGTTTTTACTTTGCCATGCTCTAAAATCTAAATCAGTAATTGACCGTACAGTTTATTATGTCGTCTTTATGTCGTTCAATCAGTCGAGTTACCCCATGAAAAACCGGCGTTTTTAGTCTATGCCAGCAGTCACAGTGTTAGGGTGATCGTTAATTTTGAGTATAATTATAGTGCCTAATGTGTCAATTTAGTAGGAAGTTGTGCAAATTCTCGTACCCAGGGCAGATAAGAAATTGCCCACGACTTGTGAATTGAAGGTGATTCACGAGTTTAAGTCGTTTTCAATTGCTATACGTATGATCAACTAGATTTAATCAGATGGTGAATGACGTTTGTAAAGTAGCTTGCGTTAGTACATCCTGCATTGGCTTGCTACTCCTCGCCTACGCATGGCTTGTACCCACACGAATGTTTTGTCTCCGTGCATGCAAAACCAGGACCATAAATGGCCTCAATTTTCACAAGACACACAATTAAGGCTCTTAGAAATACGAAGCGTAACACGGCACTCTGGCGCACTAGTCTAGCGCGATAGCCTATGTGGCTCTTTGGAGGAACATGAATTAATGAATAGCAGGGGATTAAAATGAAGGAATAAAAGGTGAAGAATTTGAACCTAATAAATAACATACAGGTACAACAGAAAACAATTATTGAAGAGATGGAAGAAGAAAAATATATAAATAAATAAATGACTGGAAGAAACATTAATTAGTGAGTAAAAAACGAATTTCAAAATAAAGACATAAAAAGTAATAAATGGAACAAAATAGAATCTGAAGAAATGAAGAAAATGATTGGTTGGGTGATCCACGGACGCCCCTGGGCATGGCAGGCGCGTGAAGGGTTCACGGCGAGATCAGCGGCGCAATGATGAACTGCAGTGCATTGTGACGAACAGCGGTGCATTGCAATGAACTTCAACGGAGTGGGGTGAATATCAATGCAGCGTAATGAAGCAATGAATTGAAGTGCAATATGATGAAAAGCTGCGCATTGCGATGAAGGGGTCCCAGCTATTGAGCTATAAAAAGAATAATATTTCCACTGGAATGGCCGGAAAAATATGTAAATGTTCTCTTTCCCTTTTGATTTCGTATTATGTATTATATTCAACGCGAATTAGGAGAAGTTTAATTAATTAAAAAAAGATGCTGACAGTAAAAAAAAGTCGGAATTAATCGACAAAATTCATGTGATGAACAATTGTTTAAATTGAAGCTAAAAAGTTAAAAGTTACGTTATCAGCAAAATAATTGGAAAAAATAATAAATATAGTGACGCGGAGAGGAACAATGTAAGCTCGCAGGAAGACCGTCTTAATCCAAGCGACGTGTTCCGAATGAGCTGAGAACATTCCAAGGATTCCATTTACTAATTAGATTAAAAATAAATATTATATGAATAACAATAATTTGGCGAGCACTTGAAATATCAATAATTGTTCATTTTAATTCGAATATATCAATTGCTGGTAAATATAATAAAGAAAATTTTGTTGCAAAATTGAATTTGAGAATGTTAAGTCATAAATTTAATTCACTAAAATCAAATAATTCATTACAACGTCGAACATAAAATGGATAAAGTTTTCAAGGTGAATATTCGTTGGAATTCGTACACAAGAAGAACGTCGTAAAATTATTGCACGCACGAACAATCAATGAATTTAAAACCAATCGTGCTCACTGAATGACCATGAATCAAACCTGATGTAATTTATTTGCATTGCAAATAAAAATTTAAGAAATTATAGTTAGTTAATCATATTATCAAATAAGTTTTGAAATAAAATATTTTGGAAGTTCAATTTCCTGAAACGTTTATATGACACTTGTGAGGGTGAAAAAAATTAAATATATATAGCGCAAGACAATAGAAGCGGAGAACAATTTGCAGCAACGGATTGGAGGGAACTTTGTATACGAACACACAAACATTCAAGTGCCATGTATTTATTTTGTACACGAACATACAAAAATTCAAGTGGCATGTACACATTTTGTACACGAACACACAAACATTCAAGTTGCATGTACACATTTTTACAATAAACAGCGGCATGTAAAAACTCGCGCCTCAGCATAAAAACAAAACCTAATCAACATTTTACTGCAATAGATGCCCACGGGAGTCAGCAGGTAAATTCAGACGTGCCAACAGCGGAGAAAAAA